TTAAGCCTGGAGGATTTCAACACCCAGAATTTCCCCGCTAGCAAAGCTGGCCGGGAAATTCTGGGAATTGAAGTCCTCCAGGCTTAAATTTGCCATGGTTGGAGTCCCCTGCTCCAAAGCACCAAAGAGCAAGACAATGGGTGGAAGCTCATTGGAGGGAGATTAGCACAGATGCTGTAGCTGCTGCTGTAACTTTATGCATAGTTCAATTCATGGGGAAGGCTTTTCAGGACTCAGGAAGGAGCAAAGCAAAAAGAAACAGAAATCAGAACAAAAACAGAAATTGTTCTGATGGTTTAAATGGTTTGTTGACTTGTAAGTAGCCGGGAAAATCCATTGCCGTATAACCACAGCAATCTCTCCTCCGGTGTAGTTTCTCCTCCTTCTCCATTTGGGGGCATCATTTAAAAAAAACTGCTTTCTGCTGGCTCTTTATTTTATTTTTATTTATTTATTTATTTTTGGAGATTCCAAGCTGAGAGATCACTTTCGTTTCTCCTGACTGCTGGATGTGCTTCTTCAAAATCACGAGGACGCACAGAAAGGTGGGGAGGGAAGAGGATGCGCTAAATTGGGCAACTTCCAAAACAATGCATAAGGAAGGACAGAATCTTTCTCTTAAAGGGGCAGCCAGAATTTCTGTGTCTCTCGGCTTTCAACCAACATGGGTGGATTGCTAACACGTCTTCAGTGTTCCAAACACATGGAGAGTCTAAAGGATCACACTTTCTGGGACTTCCGTAGGACACGGGTGAGAAGCTACTTTTGGGTCATCCTTGGCACTGTCATCGTACTTACTTTATTGATCATTCACTACACACGGGCCCTACCAGAGCTAGGCAGGAATTTCCCTAAAGACCAAGCCAAGGGGCTTCACAACATTTCCCAACTGGAGGCAGAAATAGTGGCTCTGGGGAAGCAACTGACCAAAATGGAAAAGGCGATGCAGAAGCTCAAGAAGTCTATGAACGATCAAGAAAAGACTTTGCAACTTTTGGGAAAGAACCAGAAGTGGATCAAGGAATCCAGTGATTCCCTTAACAACTGTGACAAGAAAGGCCGTAAAATGGGGCAACATTCGCTTAACAAATGTCTCATTTAACAAAAGAAATGTTGGGCTCCATTGCAGTTGTGAGTCAAAGACTACCTGTATGAATAGTACTGTCTCTGCTTTCTTTTGCCACAGCTTCTCTATTTCTATTTGCAGGTTTTTGTATTTTGTCATCTTCCCTGTTCTTTCTCTTCTCTTCTGCTGTCTCCAGATACTGCCACATCCACTATCCAAACTTCGTTTTTCTTATCAACAATTGTTAAGTCTGGCATGTTATGTGGCCGGTGCTTGTCTGTTTGAATTCTTCAGTCCCAGAGAAACTTTAGCTTCTTCATTTTCTGTTACTGTGATTATAAACACAGCAATGTGAAATCACAGTTGCCAGTTCTTTAGCTGGCACATTGTGTTCTTCTCAGGAACCAAGGAAGTCATAATATATTGGCATAATATATGTGTGGATCTAAACAGTGTGGCCTTTTGTAATTGACAGAGGAAATTTTTGTCAATGCATAGATGTTGCTATTATCATTATTTTCTATAATATACTAATATTTCAAGTAAACCACAACATGTGAAATAAAAACACAATACATACTTATCTATATAACTGTGTTCTCATCTTGAAGGCAAATGTTTG